GTCGACGACGGCTGCCTTTGCTGGGGGGCAGCAGGCTGTGACCCAGGTGGGTGTGGATGGGGCAGCCCAGCGCCCCGGCCCTGCTGCCTCTGTGCTTCGTGTCGACGGCTGCCTTTGCTGGGGGGCAGCAGGCTGTGACCCAGGTGGGTGTGGATGGGGCAGCCCAGCGCCCCGGCCCTGCTGCTGCCTCTGTGCCCCCAGGTCCTGCAGCACCCTTCCCACTGGTAGGTCCTCAGCAGTGCCGGGGGGACGGAGAGGGGACACTGACCGTTTGGGGGGAGTCCCAGTGGGTGGGGCATGTGCAACACAGATGCTGCCGTCAGGCTGTCAGGCTGTGTGGGCTAAATTCCTGTTCTGCACAGTGAAATCTTGGACCAGATCTTTGGAACATCGTTTTTTTTTCTTTTTTAAACTTGGGATCATGGTAATAGAAAAGTCTCTTTCTCAGAAGTAAAAGTCAGTTGGTTCACCAAATGATTGCCGAGTGTCTGCAGGTCCCAGGGCCCTCTGAGACATCGGCAGAGTAGTACATACAGAGGGGTCCCACCCTCCGTAGAGGATGCAGCATCCATCAAACAGGGCGACAAGGGGAGAGTTTGGGGAACAAGATGGCTAAGGGTGGCCTCTGTGTCCTCCTACTCCCCAGGCTGTAATCCAAAATCCCTTCAGCAATGGCGGCAGCCCAGCAGCTGAGGCTGTCAGTGGGGAGGCACGATTTGCCTATTTCCCAGCGTCCAGTGTGGGAGATACCACGGCTGTGTCGGTACAGACCACAGACCAGAGCTTGCAGGCCGGAGGTAAAGGGAGGAAGGGGCCGAGGTGGAAGGCAGGGGAGGCAACAGGCCCCTCAGGGAGGGATTCCCCAGCCATTTCTGACTCTGCCCCCAGTTTTAGCACTAACCCGGCTTTCCCTACAGGCCAGTTCTATGTCATGATGACGCCCCAGGACGTGCTTCAGACAGGAACGCAAAGGACGATTGCACCGCGGACCCATCCCTACTCCCCGTATGTGCAGGAGACCTGGGCCCAGGAGCAGGGGACACTGGGAGGGCCTGGTGTGGGGCCGAAGGAAGGAAAGGTTTTCTGGAGTAGAAGTCAGGCAGTTGAGCACGCAGTAGGCACTTGATATATTTTTTGGTCTGTTTTTGTTTCTTTAGTATAAAGAAAGTATCATTTCCTCTTTCTTCCTACATATGAATATGTCTTACAAAGGTCATTTTCAAGTCTGACTTCTTAATAGATGCTTGGACAAATGGGCCCTGAGATGACATGTGCCCATTTATCCCTCTTCTAGGAAAATTGATGGAACTAGAACACCCCGGGATGAGAGAAGGAGAGCTCAGCACAATGAAGGTAAAGTCAGTGTGGAGCCCCTGCGCCAGTCCCAGGCCTTGGCCTCACAGGCACTGCCAGGCGGGCCTTGTGTTTGGTCACAGATCACTGGGCATGCTCCACATGAGAGAGGTGTTGAATGCTGGAAAAGTAGAAACCGGTGGAGGAGGTTCATTGTCTGTAACCGATAGGTAGGATGAATGGACTGGAATGTGTTTTGTCATCCTGGCTAGTTTTGAATTAAGGGCCAGCATCAGAAATGGCAGGTTTCACTCGGCTGCAGTGGCTCAGTGGTTGAGTGTGGACCTATGAAACGGGAGGTCACGGTTCGATTCCCAGTCACGACACATGCCTGGGTTGCTGGCTTGATCTCCAGTAAGGGGCGTGCAGGAGGCGGCCAATCAATGATTTTCTCTCATCATTGATGTTTCTTGCCGTCTCCCTTCCTCTCTGAAGTCAATAAGAATATATTAAATAAATATAAATAAATAAGTAAATAAAATGGCAGGTTTCACGTTCACATATGGATTTCCTGCTCCCCTGGACCTTCGTTTCCATTGGCAACTGTTGTGTTTGAGTCCGTCATTTCCCTGCCTGCCTGGCTTCCGGAAGTAACTCTGGTCTGATAGTGGGCACAACCGAGGATGAAACTGCAGGAACCTGTGCCTCTGGCTAGCCAAGGCTGGAGCATCCTGCCCTTATAAACACCAAATCCAACCTAAGGTCATTTTTGGCCCTTTTTGCTGTCCCCTAGTTTCCCACTCAACCTCTGCCTCCAGTCAGTAGCCACTATGATCGATGTAGGAGCATTCAAGTCCAGGGGAATTCTTACATCCAAACAACTGTCCTTTAGCAAATATTTCCTGAAGATAGATTCTGGGCCAGATATGAGGCATGTAGAGTGTCAGGGAAGTTTAGGAGTTCAGGCTAGTGTCTGACTGAGCACTGACCGCCAGGGGCTAGTCTTTGGGAGGGCCTGCCAGACAGAGGGAGCACAGGCTGGAAGGGGGGTGGCAGAGAGGAGTCAAGTTGCTTTGGAGGGTACTGGCTTGGTTGTTGCAGAGGTTCCATGTGGAGTGCTTGGAAAGGGAGCCAGGAGAGTCAAGGAAGGCCCTGAAAGCCAGGGTGAGACCCCACAGTCCTAAAGGTCTTCGATTGGGGATGGCTCTGCAGCTTTGGTCTAAGCATCTCACTAAATTGAGGCATTCATTCAGCACGTACATACGATGTGCCAGCCCGTTCTAGGTTTTCAGATAGTGGGTAATCGAACAGATGAGGTCTTGGCTCTCGTAGTGTTTATTCTGGTAGGAAAAACAGAAATTGCACAAAGCTACAATATGACGTCAGATAGCAGGAAGGAAGATAAAGCTAGGTAATGGTGGCAGTATAGGCCTCTAAGGTGACATTTGAGCAGAGGCCTGAACAGACCTTAAGGAATGGGCCAGTCAAATACTGGGGGAGGGTCCCAGGCAGAGGGATGAGCAAGTGCAAACACCCAGGCCTGAGTCAGAACAGACTTGGCATGTATGAAGAAGAGCAGAATTCAGGAAAGGAAAGAGGAAGTTGGCAGAGTTACAGGAAGATTGGTCGGGCCAGATCCTTGTAAGAGGCCCTCCCAGTGTCCCTGCTCTTGGATATTTATTGTAGTTTGAGGGGAAACCAACAGAGGGTTTGTGTATGGAGGTCAGATAGTAGAAAAATAGGAGGTGACTGCAGATGTCTGGCCTGAGACAGGCTGAAGAATCAGGATTTCATGAATCAGGGTTTCATGATGGGGTCAGGTTGGTTTGAAAAGGGAAGGAGTGAGTGAGTCTGAGCTTGGTTTTGGGGTGTGGCAAGTTTGAGGGGCCTCCTGTAGGCTACCCAGCAGTTTTGTATCTACTGCTTAGGTCATATGACCTCAGACTGGTTCTTAATCTCTGCACCTGTTTAGTCCTCTCAGTAAGATGTTAACCCATCTCCTGCAGAGGCTCAGAGTGAGGATGCACGAGCTGAGACATTTCAGTGCCCGGCAGTGTGGTGTGCCCCCCAGTGAGACTAGCAAACCACTCTTGGGATACCATCTAGCCACCCTCTACCTCACTCTCATTCTTTGCCTCTCACAGTTAATCCACCTGCAAAAAGTCTGGAATCTTTCTCCTATAAAAAAGTCTTTCATAACCTTGCTTTTACCCTCCAGCTGTATCCTGCCCTCTCCTAACCTGAAGAGTATTTGGGCCACCTTTTACCCTTCCTGTACCCTTGGCAGTCTGGCTCTTTTCTCTACCAAAATGGCTTCATTTAAGGCTATCCTTGACAGCCTCATTGCCAAACCCATTGGCTTCCTTCCCTGTCTGTGCTGTACACACCTGACCCTGCCTATTCCCAGCATTTTGGTAATGATCCTTTCTGCTCTACCTGCTCTGATTCTCCTACACTCTTTGCTTCTTTTTCACAGCCTGCTCCTTAGAGCAGGGCTTCCCAGATGCTCCGGGAAGCTTGTTAACAATCAAGGTCTCCAGGGCTGCCCTCACAGTCTTTGAATGGGTAGGACAGAGGGAGTTCCAGAAGTCGGTATTTTTGACAAGTTCCCCACATGATTCTTCACATTGCGCAAGGCTGGGGAACTGCTTTGGCTTGTGGTGTTTCTTAAGGTCTGATCCCGTCTCAGGTCAGTCTCAGGAGAGTGAAATGTTAGGCTCGGGAATTGTCAATATCCCAAAGCCCCATCCCCAGTTGTAGGTGCTCAGTATTTCTCTGAGGGGTTTCTGCTGGCTTTCTCCTATGGGACTCCAAAAAGGTGAAACCTGCCTCTCTATGTCCCTGCGGGGCTTACTTGAACTCCAGGCTCATTTTGAGCTGCTTGCTCAAAGTACCATTTCTGGGTGTCCTTGAGACACCTCAGACTCAGTGTGTCCACACAGAACCGCTGTCTCTCCTCCCTAAAGGCTCCCATGCAACATTCCTTTTCCCACTGCAGCAAAGGGCGCCCCTGTCATAAGTATCCAAGCCAGAACTGAAAGCCAGGCCACCTTCAACTCTGCCCTCTGCCCTCATCCCCCAAACCTGAGATTCTTTGCTGAAGTGGACTTCAGATCAGCTTCTCTTTCTCCTTTTTACGTCTTTCCCACCAGTTCTTGGTACTGTGGGACCCGTCTCTGGCCTCCTCATGAACTGGGGCGTGTGTCCTGCCTGAAGGGTGGCCTTTGCAGCACCCATTGCTGCCATGTCAGTTTTGGGTCCACTGTTGTGAGAACCTCTTCAGTAGCCAAAAATCCAGATCTTTATGTGAAATCCGATTTTTTAAGATGGACCTGCTTTCTTTATTTCATTAGTTTCCACTCTTAATGCTACTAATTCATTCCTTCTACTTACTGAGGGTTTAATTTGCTAGGGTTTTTTTTCTTCTACTTTTTAAAGATCATTTTTAACTTTTTTTCCCAATACAAACCTTTCTAGTTACAAATTTCATTTTAACACTTGCTTTAGCTACATCCCATTTGGATATGTCGTGTTTTCATTATCTTTCAGTTAAAAATATTTTTCGGTTTTCCTTGTGATTTCTTCTTTGACTCATGTTTTATTTAGAAGTGTGTTGCTTAATTTCCTGATATGTGTGGATTTTCTAGATGTCTTTTGCTATTGATTTTTAATTTAGTTTTATTATACTCTGTAACTTTAGTTCTTTGAAATTTATTAAGATTAGTTATGTGGCCCCGAATGTGGTCTGTCTTGGTGACAGTTTCTGTGGATTTGCTGCTGTTGCGGAGTGTCCCCTCAGTGTCAACTTGGTCAAGTTGGTTGACAGTGTTCAGGTTTCCTATCCTGATTTTTTTGTCTTTTGTTCTATTAGTTACTGAGAGAGGAGTGTTGATGTCTCCAAGTATATTTGTGAGTTTGTTCACTTCTCCCTTTTGTCCTGGCAGATTTTACTTCTCAATTGTGTTTTAAGTGTTGTGTGGGTGTAACTGAAGCACTTCTGTGGGTACATGTGGCCTTGGTCTTAACTAGTCTTCCTCCATTTCAGATGTACCAGAATGGTCTTCCCAAGCCCCAGGTCTGACCTATCACTACCTGCTTAATGAAAGGCCCCAGACTCAAGGGCCTGAACTCCTAGAGTAAGAGATAAGGTCCAGACTCATTAGCAGGCATTCAAGGTCTTCACAGCCTATTTTTACAACCTTTTCCTGTCACCCTGTTCCATGCGCCCAAGTATTTCAGTGTCACCATTTCTGGGATCTTGACACCTGTCTGCCTGATGCCTCTCCCCTCGGAATCTAGCCCAAATATTTCCTCTCTAAGACTGTGAGGCTACACCCTACCCCACTCTCAGGCAGAGACCATTGCTCTACCCCGGAGTTCCCAGGCACTTGGCACAATCTCCAGTTATAACACATACCCTCGAGTGTTTGTACCATGTCCCCTGTTCATGTGCACTTCACAGTGGTGCCAGCAGGACAGAGACTGAATTGACTGTGGGTTCCAGCCTCTCAGAGTGCCACGGCAGGCAGTACTTTTTTTATTTTAATCCTCACCTGAGGGCATGCTTAGAGAGAGGAAGGAGGAGAGAGAGAAACATCAATTCAGCTGCCTCTCTCACACACCCTGACCGGGGTTCAAACTGCAACCCAGTTATGTGCCCTGACTGGGAATCAAACCAGCAACCTTCAGTGCACAAGACAATGCTCAACTAACTGAGCCACTCCTGCTGGGTGGCAATATGTTTTTAAGAAGTAAATGCAAACTAGAGATGTGCCACACCCCCTGTCTCTGCCCCCTGGTGGCTCGAAATGAGGAGTACATGGGAGATACTGCTACAGCCTAGTGCCCAGGCTCGTGAATGTTGGACTGCATGAGGGTAGGGAAAGAAACCAAGAAGGCATTGCTGTGAGTTCCTCAGCTGAAACCTTGGAAATGGAGCAGGCACGCAGCTGAGGGATGTGGGGCCTGGGCTGCACTCTTGGCTCTGCTGCAGATTTTGGCCACCGAGTTCCGGAGACTCTAAGACAGACAAGGCTGTCCTTGAAGGGAAGGTTCTTCTCACACCCCAGCAACAGGGCCCAGGGCTGGAGTCAGACGAAGCTCTGTACTGGGCACATTCTTGTCATGATATTAGGGAGGTTTCTGAGGAAAGAGGAGAGCGGGGGAGGAAGAAGGGCCAGGGAGGAGGAGAGTCCACAGAGGAAGGTGTTGTCACCCAGGCCAAAGTGGAAGAGCCCTGAGAGGTAGGAAGGACTGGTCAGCAATGAGTGGATAAAACCAGTGCCAGGAGAAGATTTGTCTATCAGTGGCCAGGTGTGTTCTTTGAGGGAACACCAGGGTCAGGGGCAGTGCCAGCCTCAGAGGAGGTACTGGCCAACCCCTCCTTTCCCACCCTCCCTCGGCCCCCTCCACAATCTCCCATCAACACTGCCCAACCCTGAGAAAATATCTTCTCACCCTCCTTTCCAGATCCTATTAGCCCAGTTCCCTCTCTACAGACACTGCCCACATTTGTCCACGGGAACTGAGAGTTGGGGGATAGCTGGGCTTCTTTGTCCCCACAATGCCTAGTACTTGGAAGGTAAAGAAAGGCTGAGACAGGTTTGCTTCAATGGGCCCCAAACCAGGGGTGTCAGCCTCCAATGCAGGCAGACCCCAGGCCGCTGTCGTAAGTCAGGATGTGCAGGCCAGGTGAGAAGCCAGAGAGGAGACATGCCCTGCCCGAGGGGGCAGCTACTGCTCAGCTCAGCTGGCAGTGTGAGAGTGTGGCGTTTTATAAAACAAAACCACAAGTCTGGGTATTTTTCAAGTGAAACCTTCCATTAATTTGCCATCCCTGGTCTTTAAGAGGATTCATGTTGTTCCTGGGTTACCCAATGCCCTGATAGGCCAGGCCCCTGAGAGCCACAACTGCCAGTCTGGAGATGTGGGGCATGCTGTCGGGGCCCTGGAGAAGGGTTTTAAACAGATAAGACATGGCCAGACTGTGACTTACAGATGAAGAAAAAGCAGACTCAAGGGACGCAGTGCCCTGGGGAAACCCGAGGACTGTGGACAATCACGTACAGGGGCTGTGGGGACCAGTGGGGGCTCTCAGTTCCCATGCACAGGGACTCCGGCCCATTCTTGCCTCTCAAGAGTACATGCCCACTGTAGCCACAACTCCTTTTTTCCAAAGATGTTAACTATTATGTGAAATTTCCTTATTTTAAAATGTTGACTCAAATTTTAAAAGTAGGCAAACAAAATGAACCCACTGTCCCCCATGGTTAATTCTGCTTTAAAGGTATATGTGGTACTTGAGAGCGAGACTTTCTTTGTTTCTCTTGAGAAGCACTGGGAAGCAGGCGGGGAAGCTGGCGGCCTGCCTTCAGATCTTGACTCTAGATTTGCTAGCAGTGTGACCCTGCCCAGGGCCCGTGCCCTCCCTCAGCAGTCTGGGGTCTGCCGGCACCTGCCTCGGGAGGCAAATCGCCTAGCCGCACAGAAAGTGCTATAAACCTAGCTGTTGATACTGCTATTGTGCCTACAGTGGAGCGGAGGCGGAGGGACAAGATCAACAACTGGATTGTCCAACTTTCAAAAATCATTCCAGATTGTAACACAGACAACAGCAAGACAGGAGCGGTGAGTGCCCCTGGCGCCACCCAGAAAGTCTGCCTGGACCACTGGGGTGAGCCAGTAGGCAGAGGCCAGTGGGCAGTGCTCACTCTAATGCTCTCGCCCGTCCCCCAGAGTAAAGGAGGGATCCTGTCAAAGGCCTGCGACTACATCCGGGAGCTGCGCCAGACCAACCAGCGCATGCAGGAGACCTTCAAGGAGGCCGAACGGCTGCAGATGGATAATGAGCTCCTGAGGCAACAGGTGAGTGACAGGGCTGGGAGTTGGGTGGAGGACCCAGGACCCCACGGTGCAGGGAACTATCCCTGGCCCCTTGTGCCCTCTCATGTCTGCCAGATTGAGGAGCTGAAGAATGAGAATGCCGTGCTTCGAGCCCAGCTGCAGCAGCACAACCTGGAGATGGTGGGCGAGAGCAACCGGCAGTGACGCCCTTCCCGTCGTGCGGCAGGCCCTCCTCTGGGACTGCTGCCCCCTTCCCCAGCCCTTAGCACAGAGAGGGACAGATGCCCCTCCCCCAGCTGCGTTTTTTTATAGTAGATTTTTAACAAAAAAAAATGGGGAGAAGTAATGCATTTCTTTGGATAAACACCCACTGCTCTCCTGGATGTGGAAATGATCTCCCTCCCCCATCTGTCTGCCCCTTCTCCTGGCCCTCACTAAGCCCCAGCACTTCTAGTGGTCTCGCCTGGAGGCAAAAGGGAGGAGGACAGAGGCCCTGCCATATCCCGCTGCCTCTTTTGGCCTCTAGAGGTACTGACATGGTGCTTACGGGCAGGAGGGGAGCCTTTGGGGGGCCATCCCTGGGACCTGGACCTAAGAAGGGAGGCCATGTCTCACCCCACCTCTTGTTTCTGGATTCCTGCTCCCCTTTGAGTGTGTGTGTGTGTGTGTGTGTGTGTGTGTGTGTGTGTTTTAATTTTCTTTATGGAAAAATGGACAAAAAATAGAGAGAGAGGTATTTAACTGCAATAAACTGGCCCCATGTGGCCCCGCCTTGTCTGTTTGCGTATTTGTCCATCTCAGGTATGGGCAGGGGTCATGGGGTCTGTGCAGAGCTCTATCAGGGCAGGGCCTCAGCTGCTGTTGGTGGCTCTGTGCCAGTCCCTGCCATTCTGTACTGCACGGGACCCAGTCTGTTGGCTGGCTGGCTGACTGGAGGAATTAAAGAATGAATATCCTCTTTGAGGCCCCAGGTGTGTATATGTATGCGGGGGCTGGGGAGAGGTTGGGTCAAAGACCTATGTCTTTGGAGGAGAGGCTGGGGTCTCCTGTGTCATCAGTTCCTAAAAACAGGACTGGCTCCTGGCTCTGCCCTTCTGGGCTGAAGCCCTTCCCTCTGCATCAGCCAATGGTGGGGCCTGGCCTTGAGCCCCCCACCCCCAAGGAAGGCAGAAGGCCAGGAAGCCAGGCTTGGCCCGTCAGCCTGTCGCCTTGCACTGTGGCTCTGGCGCCTGTGCTATGACCCCTGCCCCTGGCTGATGATGAAACCTGGCCTGAGTGGAGATGTAGTGACACCAGGCAATGTTGGGGGATGCTTCTGGGTCTCCCTGTGGCCAACCGTGCAGCCCCCATGCAACTCCATCCACTCCCAGGATCTAGGCCTGCCAGTCGCCACCGTGCTGAGTTCACCATGCATGCACCCCAGATGTCCCCAACTGGTTTCTTCCCGCTGAGAGCCCTGTCTCCTTTTCCTGGCCATTACTCGGTTTGAGTCCCTCTGAGGGTGTGTGCAGCAGGAAGAGCCTAATGTGATGTGAATGGGGAGGCAGATGGCAAGGAGCAGCCTTGATTTCCCAGGGGCCCCCATCTTACTGTTTTGAATGAGCTCGGCTATAGTTCAGGGCAGGGGAGAAGTTTTCATTCCTTGGCAGCAGCATCTTCAGGCTCCAGTGGTAAGGTTGACACTGGATGATCTGTAAATGAGTCAGAGCCAAAATGGCCAAAGTCCCATCTCTGGAATTAAGTTTGTGGGTCCTCTGGGCTGTGTGTACCCACTACCTGTGATTCAGGTAGTGGCTAGGACAGTCAGGAGCCTTGGTTCATCTCCCCACCCAGTGGTATTCTAAGGCAGTGGTTGCCAACTGGTGGTCCGTGAGGTCCGAAAGGTTGGCGACCGCTATTCTAAGGGACCAGCTCTCCCCCCAAAAGAACCCTGGTTTGTAGTGCTGGCTGTTGTGTACATACCCCATTGCTGGTGTCCAGATACCAACATGCTGCCACTGAATATGGAGGTGGGATGAGATGTGCACAGTGGCTCTGTTGAGCCAGTATGAGCCAGGTCTAGCACAGCCCACTGATATCCTGTGTTTGGGGGAGGCAGGAAAGCCTGGTGATCAGAGCACAGGCCTGAGTCAGGCTGCTTACTCTGGAGTGCCAGCTCTGCCTCTGATCTGGGCAGAGCCCCATCTTGGCCTTCAGTTCCTCTCCTGTCAAGTGAGGAAAGCAAGCCGGGTAGGCATGGTGGGCTCCTAAGAGGGAGCAGCGCCTGGGAAGCCAGGGCTGAGTAGGCAGCTAGGGCCCTGAATACAGTGCAGAGCCCAGAATGGGGCAGCAGGCACTGCTTTGAGGACAGGTGGTCCTGGCTAGGTTAACACAAAAGTGAGTCTACACCTGCTGGGGCATGAGGTGAGCCACTACTGTTACTGCTATTCCATGGTCTGAAGTTCACAGGAACGTTTTCCAGATACCAGGCCACTTCTTAAGGTTCTGACACTTATAAAAGACCACGCTTGTGCCGTCTCAAACTCCTGCATCTGGCTGTTGCAGTGCTCCCTACAGAACAGAACCCGAAGCTGGGGGAATGGTATGGGGCACCCCAAAGGACCCTGGTAAGTGACAGCCATCCCCCATGTGAATGAGGAGGGGTGGGGAACAAGGACACCTTGCTCCTGCTCATTGACCTGTGCAACCTCTGTGGCAAAAGGGGGAATTTTTTCTGAGATCAACAAGGTGATGTCATCTTAGGGAAAGTGTTTCCCAGGTGTCTGGCTAGAGGCCTGTGTCTGTGGCCCCATCTGCCCCACCCCCTGTACACACCTCTGCTGGCTGAGGTTGACACAACCCTGTTCCCTGTCACTCTGTTCCCGCTTATCTCCCGCCTTTTCGGCGCCACTACCTTCTTGGAAATGAGTTAGGACAAAGGGGAGGGGGCTTAGCACCTCCGCCTCTCCTAGCAGGCCCCATAAAAGCGGCTGTAACGGCCCAGACACCAGAGCGGTCCTAGACTTCACAGCAGAACAGCTAGCCAGACGGCACGATGGCACTGAACGTGCGGATCCAGGCTGCCTGTCTGCTGCTCCTCCTCCTGGCCAGCCTGACCAGTGCCTCAGCTCTGCACCAGGTGAGAGCCCACGGGGCCGGGGCCCAGCAGGCAGCCACGTGGGAGAGCCAGGCCCTCGGAGGGGACTGCTGAGGGCAGTGGACTGGGCAGATGGCAAGGCAGGCAAAGGGGGGATGGGCAGCTGCCTAAAATACAGAGATAGGGTCCAAGTGGCAGGGACTGGGGGTCCCAAACTAATTCTACATTTGAGTGCCTACTCTGTGTAAAGTCCTATTCTAAACAGTGGGGATCAAGCAACGAACAAGGGAGATGAAAGAAGATTTTTGCTCTTATGGTGCATACAATCTGGTCAGGGAATTAGTAAAAACAAAAGATCATGGTGTTTAGTAAATGCTACTCAGGTTTAACAAAAAAATTGTAGAGTGACCATGGTGGTGGGAGGTGGAAGGAGATAGGTGAGATCAAGAGCTGGCAGTCAAGCAGGAGTGTTTTGTGAGAAAATGGTATTTGACCTAGAACTTGGAGGGTGAGACGGAGACGGTAAGCTAAAACCCGAGGTGGGGGCAAGCATGGTGTACTTGATAATCAGGCTGTAGGAAGTGGGTGCTGGTGCTTGGAGCTGAGATTGAGCGGTGGGCATGCTGAGTCTTATGGGCAATCATGCAAACCCTGATTTTCCTCCAAGTGCAGGAAGAGCCCTGCAGGCTTTTCTAATGGGTAAAGCCACAACATGACTGATATGTGTGGGAATGGATTGTAGGGGCAAGATGGAGGCAGGTTTTTTTATGGGTGAGGGGTGGCATCCAGGCCAGGGAGGGTGATGTCCCAAAGAAGAGCAGCAGCTGTGGAGAGAGTAGGAGGCCTGGGTGTCTGCAGGAAGGAGATTGCCTGTGGGGAGGTGAGAAAGGCCAGAAAGCAAGGCTTCCAGCTGAGGGGAGAATGGGTTGGTGTGCAAATGAAGCTCTGCGGGCCCCTTCCATCCTCAGTATTCCCTTCTGCTTTCACAGACAACACAGCTTGCAGACCTCCAGACCCAGGATACAGCTGGAGCCACAGCTGGCTTGATGGTGAGAACACCTGGGCCTCCTTTCAGAGCCTCACAGCCTTCCCTGAGCCCACACCCGCTCACTCTTCCTTCCTTCCTACAGCCTGGGCTGCAGAGACGGAGGCGGCGAGACACTCACTTCCCCATCTGCATCTTCTGTTGTGGCTGCTGTTACCCATCCAAGTGTGGGATCTGCTGCAAGACATAGTCTCCCTGCCCTCACGCCCTCCCTTATTTATTCCTGCCGCCCTCGAACACTCGGTAAATGGTCTCAGAATAAAATGACTGTTCCAGCTTTTATTTTCCAAACCAGCGTGTTGCCTTTTCTCCCTGCCCAAGGCCTATGCCAGAGGCCTGCCTGGCTACTGTCTTGTAAGGGTGTACTCAGTGGGATGTGCGGGGTTGTTGTGTATCGAGGTTGCAAGGAAGCTTGGTGAAAGAAATTTGTTTTCTGCTCTTCCCCTTCTTTAAGCCCCACTTCATAAGACCTAGAATTTTTGTTGCTACAGCAGGAAATAAAAACTAAACAAAGTGCCGTTACCGGTTTGGCTCAGTAGATAGAGCGTCGGCCTGCGGACTGAAGGGTCCCAGGTTCGATTCCGGTCAAGGGCATGTACCTTGGTTGTGGGCACATCCCCAGTGGGAGATGTGCAGGAGGCAGCTGATGGATGTTTCTCTCTCATCGATGTTTCTAACTCTCTATCTCTCTCCCTTCCTCTCTGTAAAAAAATAAAATATATTTTTTAAAAAAACAACTAAACAAAGTTTCTTCTTTAAGTCTTGAAATGGGTGACAAACTCAAATGCCTAGCGAGGGTTCTCAAAGTCAGGTCTGGGGCTCCATCCAAGGCCCCACAGGTGGACACTATTAAGATGTTACTATTTCCTACACTCTCATTTTCACATGAGTGTGCAGTGGGGTTTTCCAGAAGCTCTGTGACATGATGACATCATCACTCTGATGGCTAATGGATTGTAGTTGTGCTTTAAAAATTTCCCAGTTTCAATTTTTAATATGTTAAGCAACTGTACATATAGCCCACTTAAAGTTGTTGGAGTCCTCAGTAATTTTGCAGAAATGGTTCCTGAGACCAAAATGTTTGAGAACCACTGGCCTTGCAGACAGCTGCAGTAAATGAGGGAGGTGTGGATTTGTTTCGCAGGAGCATATTAGGTTGTAATCTCTCAATAAGGACACACTTTGCACATGACACACAGAAGAGAATACCGTTCACCTTCACAAGGAATTAAGGTCCCTCCCATTCTTTTTAAAAACTATATCCCTCTCAATTTATCCAATTTTCCCACTTTTGATAGAAACAAAGATGCATTTCACTATCTTAGCCTATAAGAAAACATCAGCAGTGGTGTGATGTTGAAGGGGCTTGGCCATTTGGCTTCAGTGTTGTGTATGGACAGGAAGTGGGGAGGCCTGATCCCATCTAAAGTGGCTCCGGGTGAAACATGGCTAGAGCTTCTTTCCCAGAGAAGGTGGCCATCCTTCCTGATTGTAAAAATTTTGGCAACTGATTAAAGGAATTTAATTTTTTTAAATCAACACTCTGGGAGCTAAACTAAACCCAACTGGGAGCTGGATCAGTTTGGTAACCCACATACTTCTGCTTTCTGCCTTCGAAGCCATGAGAGGCTCCTCCTCTGAGAGGATTTCCTGAACCAAGACTAAGGGGCGGGAGAGGAAGGCAAGCTGGAGAGCCTGGCCTCATTTGCTGTAGGATGGAGCAGGCATCTCTCTACCCCCACCTTCCACCCCCTTTTCTGAACCCCACCTCCTCATGTGTGAAAGGACAGAAGTGTCCCTACAGTGTTCAGCTGATTGGGCTGTTGAGCGGCTCAGCAAGGAATGAGTGTGAAATGGTTTTGGAAACTGTCAAATGCCTCATCAATATAAAGGATCAGTATAAAGGGGAAGGAAGAGGACTCCGGACCCCCTCAATAAATGCCTGGGAGGTGGGAAACCTGAAACGACTAAATACATTTCATGATGCTGAGTACTCTTTGCTCATCTTAGCAAGTTCTCCAGGTGGTCCCAGAGCGGCAGAGGTGCTCCAGTTTCTGTGGGCACCAGAATCTGCTAGGGGGCAGATTGCCAGAGTTGCTGACTCTGCAGGGCTGGGGTGAGGCCATGGAACTTGCATTTCTAATAAGCTTCCAGGCAATACTGATGCTGCTGGCGGGTGGGGGTGGGGGTGGGGGGTACAAAGCTGACAACTCCTGGTACAAAGCTGACAACTCTGGCTGAGCGCTGAGACCAAGAACCAGCTATCCCTCAAGAGAGCTTTAAACAAGTGGGCCTGAGGTCTTGATCTGCCTTGAGTTGACTTTTGCTTGCACTGCACAGTATTTTTAGATACAATTGGGCTAATACCTAAAAAGCAAGGTATGGCACATAAAAATCTGAACTCCTGACATTATGGGCTAAACTGTGAAGATTTAAATCCCAGTACCTCAGATTGTGACCTTATTTGGAGAGAGGGTCTGTAGAGAGGTAATTAAGTTAAAATGAGGTCATTAGGGTTGGTTCTAACCCAGGAGGACTGGTGTCCTATAAAAGGGGTTCTTGGGCACAGAGGTCCTCACCCAGGGAGAACGCCTGCTGAACATGAAGGTGGCCATCTGCAAGCCCAGGGGACCCTGAAGGGAAGGAACAGCTCCTTTCCCCCAGCCCTCGTAAGGAACCGATGCCAAAATGCTGACTTCCCACTTTCAGCCTCCAGCAGTGATATAATAAACTTTCTAAGCCATTCGTTTTGTGGTACTTTGTCACAGTGTCCCTAGCCTTGAAGGGAAGGACTGGATGATCTGGCAGAGTTGGGGGCTGGGTGTGAGTGGCACCGCTCCCCTGTAGGCAGGCCTATGCTCTCCGGTCCCCCAGTCCTCCTGTGTTCTGGACACCGGGGTTTTCAGATTTCGGTAATAGTTGCCAGTGCTGTCTATGGAACTCACTCGCCTGTGCATCCTTCTCTCAGGGACAGCCTTCAATTCACACCCAGAAAGATGTACCCCAAAACAGCGCAGGTACATGAACCCAAGGGGTTTGGTGCTGACACTGGAGGCTGTAACGTGAGTATCCAGGTCATGGTGCCCTCCCCCAAAGCCCAGGCACCAGGCCCCTCTCTTCTCCAGGACCCAGGCGTTCAAGCCCCACCCCACTCTCAATGGGCCTTTGTCCCTGACTGGGAAAGGCACGGGCAGAGTCTGACATCATAAAGCCTGATGTGGGGATGGGACTCTCCTTCCCTCCTCCATCCAGCCTTCTCTCCTCAATTCCCTGTCTGAGGGATTTCCCGCCCCTCAGCCCGCCAACCACCCAGGCTCTCCCTTGGGAGGAAGGACACTCCCTTCCTCCCTCCCTCCCCACAGAAGATGCCCCAATGTGACTGAGCAGCTCACAGTCAAAACACTACTGCACTTTACCAAACCACTGCCAGCTCCCACCACCACTTTGCAGAGATCGTGCCAATGGAAGGGTCTGGATGGCAGGAGGATCACGCGGAATCTGCCCACAGCGGGTCCCTACCCTGCTCAGAGTCAGCACAGCCCCCAGCAAATACCCTTGGGGCTCTGTTCTAGGGGAGTAAGACTGACAGACAGATAGAAACACTGCCCTCTGGAAGCTCCTGGCTAGTGGGGAAGGAGCTCACCGATTGTGCAGATGAGCAGATGTGCTGAGGGGTGTGGAGGGACAGTCACATGTAAATGAGGGACTTTGGCTTGGTGAGAAGGCAGGCCGGCTTCCAGAGGAAGTGGCATCCACTCGGTGGCTCTGGCTAGGCAGAGTGGGCGTGGGGCGAGGTAGAGGAGCTTTCCAGGAGGAGGGAATCAGTGCAAAGGCCTCCAGTCAGAAGGTGCCACAGGGTACTGGACAGATACGTGCATGCATCCACCCTTCGTTTATGAAGCTTAGCTGCGCCAGGAGCTGGGCTACAGCAGGCAAAGCCCTCGTCCTCCTGGAGGTCATGTTCTCATGAGAGGAGATAGTCAATACCTAAGGTCATTTCTGATGACAAGAAGAGCCTAGAAGCAAATAGACCAGGATGCAGGCACCACTGTGACCAGGGAAGTGACTGTAAGGGAGGGTGGAGGTGACACTGAAGCCCAGAATGGCAAGGTCCTGTCTCCTCTCCCGCCCACACCGGCCCCTGTTGCCTCTCCTGACCAGGGTTGTACCTGTCATTGCCACCAAGATTCCCTGGATGCTGAGGACAACGCCTTCTGTTTCTCAGTCTGAGATGTTCAGAGATATTAGAACGCCCTCCCAGGGACTCCGAACCAGGGTGCACAGCAATGCAGGAGAGGGGAACAAGTGAGGCAGCCCCCCCATCCCGTCCAGGAAGGAGCTAGTAGAACCCAGGCATCAGGCTGCCCAGTCGAGCAATGGTGACAAGGGCCCCTTTGTGCCCCCCTCCCCCGGGGACAGGGAGGAGCTGGGCCCTGGAGGCAGGCGGTCCCTGGCACCCACGGGGGGAGGGGGGTGGTGGCAGGAAGGAGGGGCCGGCAAGTGGGGGCCTAGACCCTGGGAGGCCAGGGGACTGTCAGCAGGGGTGAGGAGCAGAGGGTGCAGACACAGGAGCATCCTGGTGAGTACACAGCAGCCAAGAGGGGCTGGGGACAGGGTGGGAGCAGAGGGCCATGACTGAGAGGGTGAAGCAGGGGCACCGGAGGTATGTGCAAGGTGAGGATGGCGCTGTGAACTGCCACTAATTTAGGATGGGGAGGGTGTTCCTTGGGACTTTGGAATGAGCTGGGACCATGGCAGGACAGTGACAGGGCTTTGGGAAGAAACTACAGAGAGAGAAAGAAGGGCCCTCCTCAGCACCCCTCCTGGTGGAGGTTCTGCAGGAACAGCTGCCCTGGGGCTTCCAAGTTTGGGGCAGATGTGGTGGAAATGCCTGGGGCTGGGTGAAGAGCTGACTGATGCCCAGGTGATTAGATACCTGCATCCTGCCCTCTGGGAGGGTGAGGCAGTGGGGTTGGAGTGAGCAAGTTCCAGCACCTGGGAGCACAACAAGGGGTGTGCGTGTGTGCGTGCGCGTGTGTGTACATGTGTGTGTGCGTGTGTGTACACGTGTGTGTGCGTGTGTGTGCGTGTGTGCGCGTGTGGGTGTGTACCACCGTGGGTGGGTCTGAATTTACATCAGTGTTTGTCAACCTTTTTTCATTACACCCCCACCAAAAAAATTTTTAGACCTGCTCTTCCTAAAGCCCACTGGCCCTGTGAATTTCACTACTACAGATGTGCCGTGCACGTTTATGTACTGTGGCCCTGGAGGGTCACCATCACTGCCATCA